GAAACCGTATGCCCACGGCAAGGATAAGGAAGCACGAGAGTGTAAGGTAAGTATTTTATATGCTCATTTTTTCTTATTTTTAAATGAAAATGCAAGTAAATGATACAATTTTGGTTTTTGATTTAAATTAAGGATCTTTTGCAGTGCTTTGAGCATAAAAACCATCGAGCGGGGTGTGATCCAGCGCTCTCACATCGGTGTCCTCCAATTTATGGAGCTATTTTTAACGTGTGAATTCAGCCTCAACATTTATAAGGCTAATTAAATGCAAGAGCAAAGTGTGTGTGGAGGCACACATTTTGCTCTACCTACGTTTTGAATGAACTGATCGAATTCAAGTAGAGGCCTGTGAAGTGTCGGCCTCGCGCTTGACGATTTTGTCGATGTTCCACCAGTGCCATCGACTCCACCACACTCGTTGTGTTCTGCTCTTAAGGTCACTCAAAACGGTTTGACCAAACCCACTTGATGTCATTGGATTTAGTGAACAATTGACGAGAAAAGTGGCCAAAAGAGGTGATTTTAACAACACGGGACTTTACAGGCAATGGAGAGTGTAACTGTCAGAGCTTAAGGCGGCCACACGTCTGATCTCACCCATTAGGTGGGATAAAGTAGTCTTCAACATCTCCACACACGCACTTTGGCATGTGTCTGACGTCGCCCAACTACCGTTTCCTTAGTGCATTGTAATCTACTATGTCTCGCGCTCTGAGAATTTTAACAACACTCTGTCGTGCCAAAGACATGAAAACAGCCTAAGCCTACATTATAAGCTCAATTTTCTTCAAAAATAAAAAAAAGAAACTGAAGGCTGTCAACATGTGATAGAGACTTCTGAGATTCTCTCCAAAGCCCATTCGAGTGGGTGGATTGGAATGGACTTTTGGTGTTATGATTGACTGCTAACAGGAGTGATGGCGGCAAAGTTGCACAACAATAAAGACTTGTGAGGGTGAACCAAAATGCATTTCACTAATTTAAACCTTCGCGGCTTTTAAATTACTGTCCATGAGTAGGGAGCCCAAGTAGTAATAGAGAGTTTCCCTTCAAAGGCGATGAAACAAATGAACCGCCAATTAAAGCCTCGATCTGATTGGTCAGTGCTACAAACATGTAAAATGCACTATAAAAAGTCCCTCAAATAATCATTATTTTGTCCCACAGTGAACAACGGTTCATTTATTAAGTATTAAAAAAGAAATGTAATTGATTGGGTGATTATTTGATGTACAAGTGGTATGAGAGCTTAAAAATATCGTGCGACTTTTTACTTCACCTGCCTCTACCTGGCACACACACTCTTTTTGTGTGTGCATTTGTTGTTAAGCGTAGCTGTTCTTCCACCTTTTTGGTGCTCTAGTCTCTACTACCTTTTCTGCTAATTTGATCCCTCAACAATGGAGCCAAGTGAGAGTCAAATTTATTGTGACCTGTTGACACACATAACACCACTCGTCTTCCCTTTTTAGGAGGAAAAAGGGAGAAAGGGAGAAAAAGGACATAAAAAATACGGTCCCAACCAGAATTGTCTTTCCCAAAGACAAGGTCGTCTATGGGTGGAGGAATCACAATCAGTTTTAGCATTACTCGATGAAACTCCGGTTGGTGGAGGTGCTAAGCAGTGAGTGCGCAAACCCACGGCGATCGAGAGGCTGCTTTAACCTCTGACACAATCGCCTAGTAGAAAGAAAGTCAGCTTGCCTACGTAAAGGTAGCCACAAACCTTGTCAAACTTACAAGGTTTTAGCGAAAACAAATAATAAAAAAAAACTTTTAGCTTCTCACTCGCCTCGTATGAGCAAAACACAGAGACATAAAAGTGTACCGTGTTGCTTGGCAATGGTGTCTCTTAGGCAACCTTGAGCCACCCTGTCGTCTAGCAACACATTGTTTGAAGATTCGACTCTAGAATGTGTGTAGGTTGAAGTGACATTCGCTTCCATCCCTGTCAAGTGGGATTTGCGGTGCGCTTCTGTCGAATATAGGTCACATCCACCCTACTTCAAGGGCACAAAAAGAAGCAACATAGAAACGATCTGTTAAGGGTAACTTTTGTCACACAGACTGCGATACAAGACACTTGAGGGTGCACACCTCCTTCGTGGCAAACTTGGCAAAGCTGTAGGGTTGATGCAAGTGAGCGAATAAGAAGCTCGTGTGTGTGTGTGTGTGTGTGTGTGCGTGTCTGTGCATTGATCGCTTCAGGGAAAGAAGAGTTGCATCTACTTAAGAAGAAAAGACTAACATCCTCATTCATTAGGAGTAAAGCAAAGCAAAAATTTGGCAAAAACTCGGTCCTGGTAACGCCTTAAAGACTGCAACCCAGTCAGAATAAGATGACTGGAAGATTCATAAGTCTAATCTCCCCTTGACTCAATTAAACGCCAAGACATCGTAGAGAGACATTGGGAAATCAATTTAAATTTCACACTAGAAATCGTACATCCTGTATGTCGCTATTAAAGGCTCTTTAGCCTCGCCTTCTAAGGGAGGCAC